AGATCAATCGACACATCGCAAAGCTTGCCACGCCACTAGCTGAATTTCCTCATCTCTACGATTTTTTGCGCATCGAAAATCAAAATTTTTCGTGCATCATGATTGGGTCATTTCCAGTTGTAATACTGGCCTAGACATGGGTCTGAGGACCGATTTTCTATAAATGTGATTTTTTTGACATTCGACCGCAAACCCTTAAACCTTCATTTTCGCCAAAATCGGCCTTCCGACCTATTTATAGACCAGTATTAGACTCAAAAGGAGACCGAAAATGTCTAAATCATGATGCGTTACGTAAAATGTAGGCCTTTAATGAGCCAAAAATCTCAGAGGTGAGGAGATTAAGGGTGTCATGAACCAATGCACTTCATGTTGAAATTCTTTTTGATTATCGTATGAGATCAGATGAAAAATCAGAGAAATTTTCAGTCAGGAGAGACCAAGATTCTCCCGGTATTAAGACAATTTTTGATGGAAATTTGACAATATTGAAATTTACTTAAGTTCTCACGTGAGGGCGACGACGATTTATGAAAAAAACGATGTTAATTTGACATTTCCTTTTTTTCGTGTGGGCCCAAAAATGGCCCTTATCGACTTCCCTCCTTTCAAGGAATAATTTGTCTCCTTCCTTTTCTTTTTTTTTTGGGGCAGAGAACTCTCGATTAAGTATCAAACCCTCACGAGAAAACAGAATGTGATCCGCGACAATTTATCGATGAAACCACTATTTTATTGCGAAGAAATGCGCGTTGCATACTCACTAATATGAAGGTGCACATAATTTGCTAAATTGTAGATCGTGTTTTGTGAAACCATTTAAGTCGAGACAACGCAATCGTTTCTGCTTTTCCTCTCCCTGCTCCTTACTAATTTAAACCACTTCATTACGCAATTAAGACCAGTGAGATTATCGATTGATCTTCACCGCAGTGGGAAGAGAAAGAGAGTGGGGTAAGAAAATACATCTTAGATAGGTTTTAGCGATTTAAGAAGCGGTACCGTAATTTAAAGCGCTCTACATCAAAGAAAATTTTAGGGATGAGAATTTTTTTGTGTTTTGGTCAAATTTGTCATTTTATCGAAAAAAATATTTCAAAGATTAGGATAAAAAACTACATCCGACCAATATTTCACTTTTTCCCATGAGAGGTTCAAAAATTTTGATCTAAATAAAAAATTACTACTCTCTTAAAAAAAAATTGAGAGCACCTCTGAAGGAATAGATCAAAACGCTTCGACATCACTGTAAAAATTCTAAAATAAAAAACCTGACTCATGGTTGCGCTCAGAGCTTTTAAGTACTTCAAGTTTGCTCTCCTTATAAAAAGTCTAAGATATTTAAAAAAAAATGGTTTTATAACTGCCGTTTTGAAAACAAGCATACGTTCAGAGTGTAGTAGATGTTTCAAAAACCGTAAAACATACAAGTTCCAAAATTTCAGTGCTAGAAACGGTCTTATTTACGATAGGGTACAAATCGTCGTACCCTCACGAAAGAACGTAGCTACTTTTCAATATTGCCGCATTTCCCCTCATCAATTGCATTTTGATCAAGAGAATTTTGGGCATTTCTAACTAAAAATTTCACTGGTTTTTCCTCTGAGGTCATGAAAAAATCAGGGAAATTTTGAACAAAAATACCACGGACACATCCTTGTAAAACATCTTATTTTTTAGGTCAATTTTGCTACATTGGAATAGAGTTACGTTCTTTCGTTCGGAGAGCGACAAAATGTGTTTCATCTTCTGGAGTTCAAAAGCGACTAAAATACTTTATCCTATGATGCAGAAAAATCAACTTTAAAAATAAACAAAGCGCAAATCGCACTTGAATCATTTTTTGTTCCTGAGGGGCATGGAAAATCCATAATATGGGATCAACCGGTCTTTTTAAAAGCTCCTCGAATCGATGTCAATTTTTTAATGTTTTTAAATTTACTGTTACAGAAATACACTTTGGAAAAATGAGTAAGTACTCTATCCGCGTCTATTTGCATCTGGATTAATCTTGCATGTGTGCGGAAAGCTTCGAGCGAGCTTAGCAATTCTGCTATGAAGTGAGGGCACGGTGCTCGAATCACGATGTTGCTTTGTCGGTTCATGCATGACTTGTCCATTTAATGTACATACTACCGTGCTAAAGAAGAACGCCGTATGAACATTCGAGAGTTGCTAAATTTCCCTAGATAAAACATGTATTTTTGACGACATTCATGCATATTTTTCCTTGAAATTTTCAGATATTATAGATTAAATTGCGTACAAAATTGTGTGAAATTTTTGGAACATAATATTCACAATCTTCCCGGTAATTTTGGTTTTTATCGGAGGAAACTTGGCAACGTCTGAAGGCTCATACGGCGTTCTCCCTTAGCATGGCAGCCTACATGCTCATTCATCGTAACGCCTAGTCGAGTTTTTCTCTTCTTTTTTTCACCTCACATTTTAAACATTTGTCCTCATTTTATCCAAAAAATAGGCCCTCAATTTCCTCCATACAGGGCACTCAACCCAAGGAGAAACAGGAGCACTGTGATTTAAAACCTATGATTCACTTAAGTATGGTAGTGAGTGGGTTGGTCGAAAATATTTTTTCAACCTTTCAACCCTTCTTCAGTGTGCACCGAAAAAAAAGTGAAGTTGATTTAACATTCTGGATGTAGAAAAAGTGTGCGAGTCCTTAAAAAATGCTGAATTACCAGCCACGGCAGTTAGTTTGACATCCTGGCATTCCTGAAGTGACTGTTACAGCTTGTATTTCAGCATTTTATAAGTTCTCGCACATTTTTTTTACAACTAGAATGTTAAATCAACTTCACTTTTTTTTCGGTGTGGCTCTTTTTTTGAAAGTTGAGAAAAGTTCAGGTCTCCTTCGCTGAAAATATGCTACAATGTAGCCAAACCTACTGCCTTTTGAAAAAAAAAATAATTAATACAAATTAATTTATTAATTAATTAATTTAGGGGTCTCTGCTTGGGCGTTCTAAAGGGCGCACATCTATTCTCTCTCAAACAATATTGATATTTTGACATAAGTATTGTCGTTTCTAAATGAAAATCATCGGATTGCGGTTCTTTAAGTCAAAAATTTTGCCGTATCTATAGCCGGCAAGTTACAAACTGCCAATTGGACTGCATTTTGCAATTTGGAACTATAAATTCTGGCTCATCTGGATAAACACTTACGTGCATAGGGAAACTAATGACGCATACGTCGTTTTTTAAACCGGGCTAGAATTTATAGTTCCCAATTTCAAAATGTAGTCTAATTTAGGCGCGAAAACCACCCTCCCTTTCAAAAGCAACGGAATGACGTAGAACATCGACTTAAAAGTGCAAAGTATCACACATCTCTAACTCTAAGTTCGGTAGATAGAGAACATTTTAGGCTCCTCCACCCTCTTGAGCCTAAAGATCACACGTTTGGGAATAAATAAAGTTAGGAACTGAGATTGATAAAAACACCTATCCCAATTTGCAAGGCTGCAAATCTCCCGAAAAATATTGTTTTTATCGAGATCATTATTATTACAAAATGTTTATCTCACGCTTCTGAAAGGCACCACTTTAGTCGCCCTTGACTTTTACTAGTCTTCCTACTTCAGAGTTAAAATAAGTTGGATCCAGTCAAGGAAAGAAATCTTTATTCATTGCTAAAGCGCTCTCCCAATATTTACTCGATGGCGGATGGGAGATTTATTTTCACCCGTGACGTAAGACGGTAAATTCAACGAGGAATTTGAAACGAAAATAAATACGCTAGCAAATAATGTTAGAATCTTTACCCCGCTTTACATGTCTTTGAATATCTCTGCTGCTTTCAAACTACTTCTGATATTTCGAGATTTCTGAAGTATTGTTTCAGTTTATACGAGAGCTAATCCTCTTCAATTTTTTTTCCTCTTGCAAAAACATGTTATCTCCCCTCAGACTTAAAAAATTATTTCTAAGAGTAAGTGGTTCATCAGTGCCTTGTAATAGCACTGCCTATACCGTCCTAAATCAAAACTTGCGTTGTACCATAAATAAAACCCAATACATAACTTACCATATTTTCAAATCATTAAAAACGTTTCCTATGTCTTTCTTCTTTTCAGATGGCTTTCTCAGTTGCTTGCTTGAAAAAAAAAAGTCTGAAACGATGTTGGATTTTTGTTTTTCACTTTCTTCTCAAAATTAAAAAAATAAAAGACTCAAATTGTATGTTTGATTATTTGTTTTTCAAAATGTTCGTAAAAATTTTTCCAAGCTGTGATTTAAATAACTCAGCTTAGAGCTTTCATGAGCTGAGGCGCCGACCTCTGTTGTGAAAAGTCCCACGCAAGGAAAAATACAAAAAATCAAAAATCAAAGGTAAGATGAAGTGGAAGTCATTACTACCCTAGTAGCGGAGTTGAAGTTATTTTCTCTCATTTTTCTTTTTTTAAAAGATTGTAAAAAGAAAGGTAATGATTTATACGAATACCGATTTACATACGGATGCACAACGATTATAAGACGGAAATGGTGAATTGTTGTTAAAAATACCCATTTTTAATTATTTGGTCTATGTAAACAATACATGAATGATAGTTAAAGGCTCCTAATTTCTATTGTACAAAAACTGCCCCGAAAAGTTTTGAAAAATTATTTCTTTATCATAAAGAATTTAATACTCGAGGAAAAATGGGAAAATTTATCTCTCGTTCATGCATAAATTATATATTACATTTTGCAATAGTTATACAGCTGTTACATAATCTTTATGTTGATCTTCGTAGAAAAAAGATAACTAAACACCGAATTTTTGTTATATAACCACTGTACGTTTGTATTGAAAACACTACTTTAATAAAAGTTATAAATAATTTTTTGGGGTGTATAACTTTACTACTTTCATGTTTATTTAATTTTTTTTTTAAGATTTCTGCTACTAGGGCAACACCTATGGAACAAAAAAATCAAAAGTTAAGACCACAATTGACACCAAAATCCGATAAAAAAAACCAGTGACTTACCGTTGTGTTGCGAAGCGACAGGTGGTTGATGGATAAATGAAACAAGACCAGGAAGCTACGCATGGTGATTATATAAAAAGGGCGCGTGCGTCCCGTGATTCAACCCCCTACCCCCACCCTCCCCCTCGCCACCCTAACTTCTACCCCTCCTCGACTCAAATTCGTCTTAAGCGCCGCTTTAAACCACCCACAACATTTACCCTCCGGACGAGATATCCAAAAACGCGGATCAAAGTTTATGCAAGTTTGAAATTCCTTATGTGTGTTTTATATCTAACCAACAATCGTGATCAACGCCAGAATGAAGAGTTGAGCACATACAATCAACAATCGTGATTATCAACAATAAAATGAACAGTTAGACATATATGATTATTCCGCTGCAAACTTTGACCGCACCGATGAACGATGAGGGATTCACCGAAAAAAATAATATGCTGTTTTAGCACCTAGGATGCTAAAAATGTGTCTGGTGATCTCAAGATGCTGCCTTAACTGCCTACAGAGTTAAAGTTGCATTCACAGGATGTAAAGTTAACTGCGAGGCCAGTAAGGACAACAACTCCGGATCACCAGACACATTTTTAACATCCTAGGTGCTAAAACAGCAAATTATTTTTTTCGGTGTTCTCTTGATAGATCGTTTACTTATATCTCGCCTCCAATTTCGCTGTGTAGGCAAAAAATATACCAGGAAGCGCGAATAGTTGTCTGTACAGAAACACACACCCTTAAAATTCAACAGTGGAAAAATTGTATTGCCTCGCAAGTCTGATATTAATTCTTCTTTTTAGAAAAACAAAATGTGAAAGCATATATGTAAAAACAGCGGGTTTCAGACATCCGACAGTTTTAGGAATAACGTTTTTTTAGAATCCGCAAATCTTAAAAAATGTTCCTACTCATCAATAGTTCCTTATTGATGCAAAATGTTGCCCAATTCATCAAATTGCAGACACCTGCAAATCAAAATTTTCCAGCGATTTCTGTCGAGTAGAGGGGAAGATATTTTCGAGTTCCTCAAAAAAAAATATGTTTAAAATATGTATATGTATAATAGTCCAGGCGCCTGGTAAGTCTACCTGGAATTTTGGGTACACAGCGATTTTTTTGGCCTAATTTATGTTTTTTGGGTCGCTGAATCCTAATCTGAAGTTTCCGCACGCGTATCTGGTGAGCATTTTCCGCTATTTTGAAAAAATGGCCTAAAAAGGCCTTTTTTGCGGTTTTTTTATATAGCGGCTACGCGTGAGAAAACATCCCGGATTTAGCTAATGTTTTGAATAGCTGACATAATTTGGAAGAAAATGGTATATAAATATGCTAGGTTTGCTCAAAAATTGAGGAACCTCGGATTTCGGAACTTTGGAACGCTTCGGAACTTGGCTGACCGCGGCGAGCCGGATCGCGCGTTGACGGGTGCGCCGCGAAAACGTGAATGGGCGCGATGTTCACGATGCTGTATCTTCCTCAATTTTTAAGCAAACCTAACATATGTATACACCATTTTCTTTCAAATTATGTCAGCTATTCAAAACATTAGCTAAATCCGGGACTTTTTCTCATCCGTAGCCGCTATATCAAAAAAACCGCAAAAAAAGGCCTTTTTAGGCCATTTTTTCAAAATAGCGGACAATGCTCACCAGATACGCGTGCGGAAACTTCAGATTCGGATTCAGCGACCCAAAAAACATAAAGTAAGCCAAAAAAATCGCTGTGTACCCAAAATTCCAGGTAGCCTCATTTTTAGCTACCAGGCGCCTGGACTATAAATATTTATGTATAGTTAGTTAGTTAATTTTATTTAACGACGATCAGCATCTAGGCTATTTACGTCGGGGGCTAGGCAATTTTAAATTTTTAAATTTAGTTTCTTGAAGAGTTTTAAAATTTCTGTTACTACCATTGGACTATCTGAACACAAAGGGTGGATGTTATATTATATGTATAATGATGTATCATGTATAATATTTATATGTATATGTATACATATTTATCTCTGATTGCAACGTTATGCACCATTTTATGCTTTATTTTTAATAAATGTTTTTAAAAGCTACACACAGTTTTTCTGAAAAGTTTCCGCGAATTTACCTAAATGATCTCAAATAAAAGAATCGAAAATTTCGACGCGATAGGTATTTACGTTCGTTCTATTTTCTTTCAAAGTAACCAAAAAAAATTAAATATCATCCGAGTTTCTGAATCGTTACAATGAGGATACCAATTTTCCTTTTAGTTATGGTAAAAACTGGAGCAGAAAGTCAAGAATGATGACACGCAGTCCTATATCATTCCTACCGTCTTGTAGGCGCTAACGTCTCATGCCAACTGACCGACTGCACTGCGTCTGGCGCGATGCGAGAAGTATTCATGCAGTCTTGTAGGCGCTAATCATAGAGTACATAGAGTCGTAATGTAAGTGGGAGAGCTGGCGCTACTTTTAAGCATTTTCCATGTCCCGAATTCCGAGACTCCTGTGTGACGCCGGGTCATTTTTTCGATACATAATCGATTGTTTGCGATACACGGGTACCCGGCCATCCGATGACAACAACAACAACAACAACAACAAAGGAGATAGGAATTACCACGTATTCCACACCGCCATTTTGGATCGAAAATGTATCGAAAAAGCGACCCGAACTCGGCGCACACCGGGCTCGGAATTCGTCGAGCAGAACATGGCGCCAGCTCTCCCATTTACATTACGACTCTATGTACTCTATATGGCGCTAATATAGGCGTTACGCCGACCGCACTGTTTGGCGCAATGCGTGAAGTATTCCTAAGGTCTTGAAGGCGCTAATATACGTTTTACGCCGGCCGCACTGGGTTTGGCGCGATTATTCTTTCGAATAATCGCGGAATCGAATAATAGAGCTTAAAAGACCTATGTTGTGTTTTGACGCCATATGAGCAATTCAACGTTGCCTCGATTCTCTTGATTGAATATTTTTTCGAGAAAAGTTAGGACAGTTCTTTATACCTACGACCATGATTCAATCTTTTCACTTCATTTATCATCAGAAGGTAAGACATCGATGACTTGTCAAAAAAGTAACCCAAACTAGCTGTAACATAAAAATGCGTTTGTTTTGCAACTGTTTCCTGTTTCGCCAAACTTCTACCTTAGGGTGATTCGATGGACGCCATATTTTGTGTCAGAACGGCATGCGATATATCGCATCAATTGGTTCCATTTTTTCAGCTCCTCGTCATTTTCCTTCAATTTTGAGATCGCAATTCTGTTGTCAGGGGACTAAAGCACTCACTTACCGATTTTAACAAAAAAATTCAACGTAATAAAGGCGTGGTTTTTTTAGAAAGAAAATATTGCATTCGAGTGCAGTTTCGATATCAGTATCGAATGCGATGTTTTCTCGCTAAAAAAACCACGCCTTTATTACGTTGAATTAACTCCCCCGAGTTCAGATTTCAGGTACGATAATAAATGGCAAACCAGATCACCATTCACTATCGTACCTGAAATCTGAACTCGGGGGAGTTAATTTTGAATCAGTGGAAGAGGTCAAACAAGCCGTCCACTCTTTCATCCCCGGTCAGCTGAAAGACTTCTACGCGCGTGGCATCCAAAAGCTGTTCTCTTAGTCTCAGTATCAGACCTGCTTGGATCGAGCTGGTTATGTGGAGAGGTGAAGTAAGCCCCTTATTCTACAAAAACTTCTTTGATTTTTTGTCAGTGATGAACGACTGAGGCTTTGGCAGAGAAGCTCTTCTCCTGTCGCGGACTTCAAATCCCCTCGCAATCGGCGGGAGCGTCGAGCGCCTCGGCGCGTTCAAACGGCTCGCGTTCGGCCGCACATAGTCCGATTTTGTTGCGGTTTGATTTTTTGAACTCAGAATATCCTAAGGAAGATTTTGAGCCCAAGTTTTTTAAAATTGGTCCATTCTTATTGATTTTAGAGAGGGGGGATACTTACTTATTGAACGCCCCTCGTATTTTCTTGGACCTTTCGCGCAATCCTGGATTACCGACCCCGGAAGTGGGCTACTTCTGTAAAAGTTGTCCGGGGATGAAATAGAATGACGTGTGGATGCTTGTGGATCAAAAGAAATATTTCCCTTCGACAAGAGCCGTAATATCATTTGAAAAGGCTTATCCAACTGTCAGAAGTTGATTCACCCCGGATGCGGTTATTCGATTATTCTGAAAACCCGCCTGAAGTTCACTGACAGGGGTGAAATACTCTGCTTTTCTTTGAGACCATCATTAAATTTTTATTCGAAGAGGCTCACATTTTCTAACAATCTCGTAAATAATGGATGAACATAAAACTTGTGAATTTTTTTGGCTTCTCTTTTTCAGAGGGTGTGGACTCGATCGGCATGGGTCGATCAAGACAGGTCAGGGATACACTGGGGAAAAAAACACATTGGATCTAGAGTCCAGACTCTTAAAAACATCGACAAGAAAAAATACTCTTGATTCAATCGGAATTTTGCTTGAATCAAGAACCAAGCCTCCTAATTTGAGCGGATTTCGTTTTGATTTAAGCAAAAATCTGATGGAATCAAGAGTATTTTTTCTTTTCGATGCTTTCAAGAGTCTGGACTCTAGATCCAATGTCTTCTTTTTTTCCCAGTGTAAGATCGGGTAAGGGATTTTCACAGAGAGGAAAATCCCTTACTCATGTTCTACAGGGAAAAAATGGAATTGCTAATTTAAAAATTTTGTAAAGAGTCCGACATGTTTCAATGTATATTTTACAATAAACAAATGTTAAATTATATAATACCCGTGGTTAAATTCGCTTTCCATTATTGAAAGATGTACTTTTGAAGAATTTCGAACATATTTGTTAACATCTCACTTGTTAAAGTTGCAACCCGTTTTTTTTCCATGTAAGAGGGGAAAGCAAAATGCAGATTTTAAAACCTTGTGCCGACGATTGCACATATTTGTTCTCCTGAATCTGAACCAGAAACTTCCCACAATATTAACCAAATTTAAGGAGCGTCCAAACAAACCGCTTCTAATTGATTATTTAAACTACCTGAGCTCCAGTGGCGTGGCGTGAAGGATCGATTAT